AAGTACTGAGTATTTTTGGTTGTGTTGCAGGCCTCCAGCGCCAGTAGTGAACGATCTTTTTCCAAGGTCGGTCTAATAGTTCGGGCCAAGCGCATGGTTCTCAAGCCCGAGAACGTGGATCATTTAAGCTTGCTAGGGTGGCAGATGGCAGAGAGTGGATGGTCGCAGCAGAAGCTAGCGCATCGACGCACGAAGGGGGGGAAGGGAGGGAAGGGAGGGAAGGGAGGGAAGTAGCGACTTTGGATTCCAAAGTTTGGATCACCACCGGTGACCACCCTCGTTGCCCCGGCGTGGAAACTGTGGAGTACCGCCGCAGCAAGGGTGCGGTTACCATAGAGATAGAAGATAAGATATCATGACTTGTAATATTCCGCTGTCCTGTGTTGATGTGCACACCTTGAACACACTATGTTGAGTGGTGGATGAACCTTGGGTATCATATAGATAGAAGAAAATTTTATTCAAGAAATGCGTCCCAACAAGTACTGCGATTGGTGGATAGACTTTACAGTCGCTGCCCTGGCGTGGAAACTTCTAGAGTACCGCCGCAGGGAGGGTGCAATAGGTAGAGATGGACGATAACAAATAACGACTCGTATTATTCATTGCCCGTTTTCATGTGTTGAGCTGTTGAACTTTGACGTACTATGTTGGATGGGCTTTACACTCGCTGCCCTGGCGTGGAAACTGTGGAGTACCGCCGCAGCAACCCATCGTTATATGTGATACGTATCACCCATTCCCAAGTATGTTGAGTGGCTCAACTGTGTTCAGAGGTGAACCCTCTTTGCCGCCTGCCTCAAGTGATGTGGGTGTTTGTGTGTGTCCGCGTTTGGTATTGCAACTATGCCGAACCCTTGCTGCAATGGCCGGGAAGACTTGCAATGGGAGTGTGGTGCGCACTGCACTATGCAGCAGTACCAGCCGCAGCAAGTGGTGCAGGTTGGCATGCCATACACTGGAACTTTACACACGGCTTGTGTGTTGTTCAGTTCTCCAAAACACTCCATGTATTACAAACCGCAGAATACATGACCTGGAAAACGCCCACACACGTTTATGAAGCGTGCAACCAACACAATTCGAGCTGCTGCAAAATGGAAACCCCTGGCAACTTCGCCTTGACCTTGCCGTGGCTGGAAAGCAAGTACCTACGGGACAGAACGGACCAAAATTATGAATCCACGGATGTTTTGTCGCGGACCGGACGCCGCGCACGCCCTCCGTTAATTTAACGGCAAATAACGGTGAAGAAAAAGTGAGAGCCGGATTCTGCGGACGGCAGTACGGCAAACAGCGGACCGGATGTTACCGGACGAATATCACACTCACTTTTACGAACCGGACGCAACGGAGCGGACGGTACCCGAGTGTGGCCACCTCTATTCCATAGTCGTTCCATGACAATTCGTAGGTGGTTCATGTGTTCTTCCATATTCCGGCTGTAAACAAGGATGTCATCCAAGTATATAATGAGAAAGGCGTTTGCCACGTCACCAAATACCTGGTTCATGTACCTCTGAAAGGAACTCAGTGCGTTGCATAGACCGAAAGGCATCACCAGATATTCATAGCTCCCGTGCCGCGTAATGAAGGCCGTCTTCGGTATATCCTCTTCTAGTATCTGTATCAGTTGGTACCCAGACCGTAAGTCCATTTTACTGAAGACGGTTGCACCGGCGAGCCTGGCCATGAGGTCGTCGATTCGCGGTAGAGGGTACCGGTCCTTGATGCTTCTTTTGTTCAAGGCCCGGTAATCGATGCACATCCATAGCCCACCGTCTTTTTTCTTGGTGAATAATACCGGCACTCCCCATGGCGAGTTGCTTGGTCGTATTAAACCAGCGTTCAGTAGTTCCGTTATCTGTCACTTCAGTTCATCATTCTCCTTTGGGGAGAGTCGGTAGAGGCGGGTGTATATGCAGGTTTGGCATCCGGTAACAATTCGATGCTATGTTCCGGTCTCCCTTTGGGGGTAATCCCAGCCGTATTAGGGTGACTCGCGGGACAAAACGGGGTTCACGGGAGGGGTTTGAATTTGAACATCGGAACATTACAAAGTTGCCAATCTGGCATGTGCCGGTTGGGCTGCCTAAACCCCGTCCTTGGACGGCTATTTAAAGTCGTCCAAGGTGAACATTGTAATCCAAGTTCGCTGCAGAATTGTGCCTTTGTCTCCACGCTCAAAACTGAGCTGCTGCCTGACCAATATCGCCGAGCAAACTGCCCCCGGCAGTTTTGCCCCTTACACTAGGGATAGAGTTGTGTGGCATTGTCCCAGCCTCCGCATGCAGCCGATGCGAGTGGCTACCCACAAGTGGCTCTGAAACCAAATGATACATGAAAACTGTGGGTGTGGGGCTCCTGCCCTCTTTGAGCCATGGACCCACCTTGCCGGGCACCTAGGTCTTTACGGGGACCTAGGCAGGACCACCCCGACCTACTCCCATATAATATAATAATATAATCTGGTTGGAGAATTGTTACCGTATTTTGGGCAGGGCGTCCCCTACGCCAAGAGGCCAGGAGTAGGGCATCCCCCACTATAGGCCTTTGTGCGTAACACCTCAAGGCTAATAGTTGCAGAGTAGGAGCCCCTCCACCTGCCACTTGGGTGCGTCAGCTTGGTCGTTGGTGCGCACCAACGACCAATGTGTTGGAACTTGTTGAAGACTTGCCACATCATCATTTTGTTGACATACAAAGAATTTGAATCGTGGACTTCATCGCTGCCACAAACTCTGCCGCTGCCAGAACTTCCCCGCAGCCAACGGTGGGCTAATCACACTTGGCAAGTGGATGCAAGCAGGTGTCGGCGCGGTCCCCTCTTGGCCGCATCCAGGTACCCTGGCCCGAGCTCTAGGGCCTCTCCGGTGGAAGCGTGGTCGTCCTCGGCCGGACGGCGTGTCCCGGGCTCTCTCTGGCCCGTGGGTGACAGCCGCTCTGTGCAGTCCTGTCTGAGGCGCACGGCGGCTGCGCTCGAGGAGGCAGGGCGGCAGTGTGTTCCAAAACGATCGAACTACAATCGGCACCGCCGCCGGGCGCTCTTACATGTGGCGGCCAAAATCATCAAAGTCATTATACTCATTAAGAAAGTCCATTTTGGCCAAACCCATTTTCCGGGCTAAAGCCTCGCTACGCTTCCGGCCTGCTCCGCTTTGCTCCGCATACGGCCTCCACAACTTTGGCGATGGGCCGAGCTCCGCTCGGCAAGGCAAGAAGCCAACGGGTTGCTAACCACATTACCACAGCAGGGCTGGCGAGTGATGTTGCATAGGTGAGAGACAGGGATGCTGGTGAGATTAGACAGACAGATGGGCGCCTGCTGGCCTTAACTTCCAGCAACCCCATCCCGCACATCCAGAGAAGCATGCAATAGTTGTGGCCCACAAGAATGTGTTGTTAGTGTCTCTCAGCCCTGAAATGACCATTCATCAGAAATGGTCAATTCAACAACTGATTATTCAGAAATGGCCATTCAACAGCTCGGAAATGTTTGTTCCTCTGCCTTTTGTGAAAATTGACATTGGTCTTGTGTTAAATCAACTCAATATCTGACACGTAAGTATTCAAAATGCAGTGGGTGACACAACAGTCAAATACTTTGAGGGAGCCGCTGGCTCGCGGTGGATTCTTTGTACGTACGGCCTCCCAAGTCACACTTCAGCGTTGGCCGCGACCGCAGCAACTGCAACAAAGCCACCGTCACAAGAAAAAAACCAAAAGAATCAAGGCCTCCACCACAAAAGGACCGAACAACGCGACACCACCACAGAAAAGAACAACTCGCAGATGCAAAAAGTTTGGTGCCTTCATGGGAGCGGAAAAGCGGAAAAGTGGAAAAGCGACCGTCCGCTGTCGCCGAAAGACATAATTCCCCCCTCAGCGCCGATACGCAGCGGCCCCAGACTACGGTTCCGGTGCCTGGGGCAAGGCACTTTCGATTCGCCGCTCCTGGCCGCGCCCGTACCCCTCCCCCATAACCCACCCCTGCGCCTCACACGCATCAACAGCACCGCCCCTGGGCCCACCAGCCGCGCCCAGGGCACCGACGGGCGCCCACGCTACCCACGCGCCTCCTCCAGTCCCATCATCATCCTCCCCCTCGTGTGCTTATCACAAGGCCCCCCTTTCTGTCGGAGCGGTCCCAATGACGGTGGGGGACGGTGAGATGCCGCCCTCGCCGCGGCATAGGGGCTGGCTGTTCAGGGGCAGCGACATCGTGGCGGGGGTGGTGTCCCGGCGCTTTGGTGTGCTGGAGCACGACCAGTTCGCGACGTACCGCAACCAGGAGGACGGCAAGCCGTCGTCCGTGTGGCCGCTGCACCCCCGATGCGAGGTCTCCCGCCTGGAGGAGCGGGACCTGATGATCCGGGACAAGGGGAAGAGCACGGTGTTCGCGCTGATGACTGGAAAATACGAGAAAGTGCCGGGGGTGAGGAAGTGCTGGGTGGGCACGGCGACTGGCCGGTTGGGCTTGGGCAGGGGGAGCGGCGGGTCGTGATTGGTGTCCGCGTTGGGCCAGGCGGCACAGCGCTCTGTGCTGCAGGTCGGAAAGGAAATCGGCAGGACGCTGTCGCCAGCGGGCTTTTGGAATGCTGGGGAGGGGCAGGCCCGCCTCTTTTCGACAGCGGTGGCTGGCTGGGGGTGTTCACTGGCTGGCGCACTGTGGCCGTCCGGATCAATGCCGGACCATTGCGCCTTTTGCCGTCAATGGTGCTTTGGGGCGGAGTTGTGATCATTCGTATGTTCCTTTGCGTTTGGGATCTGGTGCATTGCTGCATGGCGTCGGCTCTTGTGCTTCATGCCTGCCTGCCAGCCCCTTTGGCCTCACATGTGATGGCCAGTGCAGCCACTCAGCGCAATTGATCGTAAAAGGCCCCGATCTCATCAATCTATTATCTTGAGGCGCCTGGAGTGTAAATTTTCCAGCAAGTCTGCTGCGGTCCTGCACTGGAAACCTGGTGGCTGCTCTGAAAGCCTATTTTGTGGTGGTGCAGTACACATTCACAGTGGCTTGGCCCCAGAATGCAGGGGGGAAGACATCAAAAGTGATGCTTGGGTTTCAGGCAGAGACTGATGCAGCCCGTTGGCAGTCTACATTTCTGCAGTCTGTGTTAAGACTTGCTGAAGTGCAAGCAGTGCAAGGGCAGGAGCTGGCCCTGCCTGTCACACCTTCATCTGACTCCATACTGTCAGTTCCAAAGTCATCCTACGATAACATCTGTGCCAGGGAGCTGCCTGCGGAAATCCCAGAACAAGATGCAGTCTGCGAGGAACCTGCGGTAGCAGATGGAGGCATGGAAACTGCCACACAGTGGAAGCAGATGCAGGTGAGGAAGCAGCAGGACCTTGTCTTGTGCAGGTGGACTCTGCGGTCAATGCAGACATGTTCTGCCAACATGGCAGTGTCACAGGTCAATGAGTGCCCATGTTTTCAGTTTGAAGTTGTTTGTGCCTGTTGTGCATCCATGGTGGGGCAGGGCAGTGTGGCTGCAGCAATGGAGTGTGGCCTTGGTGCAGAGTTCAGGGACATTGGCCAATGAGTGTTGTTGTGAATGAGAGCAACCTTTGGAACATATAATGAGCTATGGTTGTCCCCAGACAATACGCAACAACTGCCCTTTTAGTGGTGTATGGGAATCTGTAGCTCAGAATGTATCTGTGAACAGGACATGAGGGCTGCATCATCTTCAGGATGCACAACCTCATCAAGTGATGCTGCACCTGAGGCATCTAATGCTGGAAATGGAGCTACTGGTATGCCTGTAACATAGCCGTATAGTGGCAATGCTTACCAAGCACATGTTTCCCTGTATCCTTTCAATGTCCTGTGTCAATGCGTCCTTTAGTGGGTATGCATTGTGCAGGCCAGATAGAGCTTTGAATGTAGTTTTCTGAAGGAGCTTGCCCATTGTTCAGCTGGTGTCTCCTCTTTCAACAATCTCCAAGGTTCGGGGGGTTGGAGAGTTTGCTCGTTAGAGAAGGGTGTCATCCCCTGATAACTATCTGTGGAAAGCCTTGCAGTTTGGCTTTGGCATATTGAATTGTTAATCTTGCCACATGGCACCTGCTATGAGATGAAGAATGTGCTGTCTCACACAGTTTCCTTTTGTCTTGTGTGCATCAACTTTGCTGATCAGGGAGTTTTAATACAACAAGGTGTCGTGTGTCTGACCTGTGCACACACTCCCAGACGCGGATGTGATCCATGTGGTGCCCGTGAGGGCCTTCGTGCACTCCTGAAGGCCTTGTGTGTGGTTGCAGTCAGCAGTGGCATGTGGTCCCCCTGGAAGCATGTCAATGGAGTGCCAGTATACCGGGAGGAGGAAGACAGCTCTGACGGCTCAGGCGGAGCTTTCATGGTTTCTGCAGTGATTCGGTGCCCACCCCATGTTTGCTTCAAGGCTTTGATGGAGACCAATCCCCAGGCATCCTGCGTGACGGGGCTCTTTGAGATGGAGTTGCTTGAGCAGCTGGATGAAAACTCGGAGGTCAGCAGTTCCCTTTGCAGCATTGGGTGATGCAATGGCCTGTGTTTGTTGTTGATGGGATTGGAAGGTTCATGTATGGTTGGCAAGCTCCAGTTGCACTGCCAAGAAGCACAAGGGTACCTGTCTACGTGCTTGCTGAATATATGGTTTGTTTTCAATGCTGATGTGGCTGGTGTTTACCCCACAAGGGATTTCAATACCGTTGAATGTGGCTGTTTAGTGGATGCACCCAATTTCTGTTACCTAAGCTTGGGTCTGTGATTGACCATCAGTGAAGAATGGTAGTGCTGTGCATTCTGCAGGTTCTCTTGTTGGGCATTTGGTGCTTGAGAACTTCTTCTTCTAGTCTAGCTGGCGTGCCCAATACAGCTTGGCTCAGACATTTTGATTGATCCATCTCACGGATCTCGTCAGAAGCTTTTCGCAGTTGTGCTTCCCAGGGGAATTCAGCTTGGCACTCTCCCATGCGTACATGTGGTCGTGGCTTCACTATTTTATGACCCAGTAGTGGTGTTGGTGCTTGCAGAGTGCTTTTGAGGAGCATGCAGGCATTCTATCTGCAGTTGCAAATACCAATGCGCAAGTGCAGCTCCTGCATGTCCTTGCCAGAATGTTCTATCTCTACCACAAACTGTCTGTGAATTTTGGAGTGTTGCCTCCCGCGCAGACACTGCATGCTCAGCTTGAGGGAAGTGGGTGGCTCAACTGGCTATTGTCTCCAAGAGACGTTGTGGTTCAGCGCACTTGGAGACAGGAAGAAGAGGATGGCACATATGTTGTGCTGTTGCACAGTGTTGACCGCCATATAGCTGTTGACCAGCGTGACCAAATGCCATCCTTGTGGAGCTGGTTGAGGGCACCAGTTAGAGCACAGGTGAATGCTGATTCTGTGCTGTCCATGCTTTGCAGTGGTTTGTTGCCCTGGTATGTGGCAAGTGGCTGGCCACCTTCAATGTTCTGGCTAGCATACCTTACTCCATCCCAAATTATTTGACAGGTATCAATTGTGGCCTTTGAAAACCGGTCAGAACATTCCTGCTTCCAAATTTGACCTGGTAAGGTGTATATAGTTTGCGCCACCAGATAGTTGGACGAAATCCATATGTACTCATGGAGTGACACCTCAAACTGGCACATATGGAATAGGATTGTCAAGTGGCTTCTGCAGGGTGCTGCTGAGTGAGGCGAAAACCTCGTTGCAGGCTTTGGCCTGCAGGTCACCTCACAGATGCAGAGGAGCGCGATGTGATCCCAGTATGTGTTGAAACCAAGATTGAGATCTTGCCAAGATGCTTATGATCTTTGCAGCTTTGCAAGTATGGGCTGGCAGCTCCACAATACCAACCCAGTCTGGGTGTCTTGGAGCTGTTGCCGGAGAGTTGGGGGAAAAAAACGGCAAAGTCCACAAGCCTCCGCTTGTGGGATAGCAGTGAAATGGCCAGCTGGCAGGGATGGCACTTTGCATGGGCTGCGATCCTGGATCTTGTCTATTCTTGTCCAAGTCCCAAATAGGCCCCATGCTGGCAGTTAGGGCACCCACCACCACCTCCCCCCACCCCACCCCACCCCACCCCACCCCACCCCACCCACCACCACCACCACACAAATGAAAAAAGAAATGCTTGTGGACCCCAAAGAAGACAATGGGGAGGGTGTCCGTGGTCACACATATGACCTCCAGAAACGGGCAAAATACCAAAATCAAAGTTTCTTGATCGATGATGCTGTGCTTATTGCCTGGTCAAGGGTGTCTGTGAACGAAGTTTCTGAACGGATTGCCACCAGCCTAAAATTCACATCTCGATCAAAGCTTGTGTGAGGAAGTTCTGCTCCTGGCAACTGTTCGTCATCTGCAACCAGTGGCAAGATGGCGAAAATTACCACCAGCTCGCCATGCCAGCAGTCTCTGGCAACAACAAGATCGCTTGAGAAGCAAGTCATATGGCGATGACCGAACATGCTTGGCATTGCCCACGTCAGGCTATCAGACATCGCTGTCAAATCTGGAAATGACAGCATTGCTGCTGCACCACAGGCTTCTCAAACGAAAAGCATGCAGTGGTGTAGTGCCCCATGCCAGGAAATTAAGGACCACAGGAGTCATTAATTGCTATTTCAACTAAGTTATTGGAGCAGAACAATGCCCCTATGGCTCCTTATGCTTCTATTGTTTCTATTTCAGATCATCTTGAGGCTGGATTGTGCTCTCTTGATAGCTGTCATGTGATTGGGATGGAGGAAACATTATGTTTACATGGGCTGATCGCATCAGGACATTGCAGAGTCTTGCCACCATGGGAAGTCGCTTTACCTGTGGCAAGCTCAGTTGAGTGGCAGAGTGCACCATCTCATTCTCATCATCGTTGCTTCAAGCTTGCAGCTCTCGGCAACTGGAAGTGGGTGTTGATCAGTGTTGTTGTTGAACCTTGTCATCCATTGGCCATGGATTTTGGCGGTGCAGGCTTGGGAGAATGAGCTGGGCTGCAGCTATTCTTGCTGAAGTTCATCACTTGTTCATTTTCAAGCAGCAGACTGGTGGTTTCTTGGGAGGGCAGCCTGACATTGATGTCCTGTTCCTTTGCGGATCTGACTGGCAGCCCCGATGCTGCAGGTGTCCGCGGCTGGCTTCACCATTGCACCCCTCAAGGACTGCGGGCAAAAGCAATCTCCAGAATCTCTGGTAACGATGGTGCTTAAGATGGATTTTGGCGGCAGTGTCAGCCAAAACTGCATCCTGCATCCTATTTTCGACCTTCTGGGCATTCGTTATGCGTGGATAGAATCCATGCTCATGACTGTCGTAAGGCTACGGGACAGAGTGGAGCATGCACGATTTGTGGTAGGTCAAACCTTGTCGACTGTGGCATGAACAGCGTTCCGCAATGATCTTGGTCACCGCAGGTTTGAACTCAGTGTGCTTCATTGCTGCACACTCGCAGGCCTTTGGAGCTCAATTTCACCTCAGAATGCAGGGGCAAAGTCGCAACAAATCGCATTGCACACAATCCCTGACGGGTTGCTGTGCCATCGTAGTGGACACAACATGGCCCCAATATTTATACACATGATGGACCCAGTACAGACCCAATACATTAAAGAATCGCATCGGGTGCTTGCCATATCATGGCATTCTCAAGCTGCCCCCCCCGCCCCCCACCCCCCACCCACCCCCACTCCCGAAAAACGAAAAAAACGTAATTAAAAGAACTCCTTACGAGGGCAACCTGGGCTGCGTGGGACCTCTTGTGAATGGTTCACATGTGTGCCCTATCTCCCCCAGGCAATCCAAGTACTGGTCTGCTGCTACAAAGCGATGTGGCTTATCTGATGTGTAGGGAGTCCTGGAAGGCTGCAGGTTAACCCTGAAATACACCAGGACACCTTTCATCACCTGTCCAGTCTTCTAATGGATGTGACAGCATTCCCCCTTGCGTATGTGTTGTTTGAATCTATCTGGTGCACAATACCCTGTGTTTGACTTATGGACCTTTGTTTAAATTCAATTGGCCTCGTCTCGCCCACTAGCAATGGAAGAATGCTTTTCCTCATTTGCAGGTTTGGTGAAGCACTGATGGCATTTGAAGCAAAGGAGATATCCTGCTTCTTCATGGCACTGAAATTGAGATCGAATTCAAGGATGTCCCTCACTGCCCAAAATGTGCTGAATTCAATTCTCACAAGGAACAGGAGACACACCCTAGTAGCGATTCTGAAAGCAGACAAGATGGAATCCAGATTGACTGTACCACATTCTTCTGCCAATAATTTTGGTCTCATTCTCTCTTGGTCAGTGATTAGGATCGCTTAGCTTGAGTTTGAGCTGTACAGGCTCATCTATTTCTGTGGAATAACAGCCAGTGTATTTCGTCTTGTGGTGTTTGTGCAGACTCTGCCATTCTCAGCCAGCGGTGCATTTCCAAGCAGGGATGGTCCAAGGCGAACCGCAGCTGCGATGATCAGGGACAGCCAAGCTGGAGCCACTGAAGACATCAGTGCATCCAAGCCCCGTGAGGGGGATGCGAATGAGGAGGAAGAGTCAGCCCGTGTAGTTAGTTCTGCAGGGACAATGGACCCCAAGTACTGGGCTCGCCCTGGTGCTGCAGGCTTCAAGCTCCGAGGGGCAAATTATCTCAGAGACAAGAAGAAGGAGCTGGCTGATGAGCCAGTGTTCGATCTGGTGTCTGTGGACCTTGTGAAGATCGTCAAGCCAACTCCACACATTGCAAGATACCTTCCATCCATACAGTAAGGAGTGCAGGCACCCGTGCTCTCTGCTGCTTGCAGGCCAATGGACCCTTAGTGCGGCAAGAGTGTGGATGTCCCATGTCATTTTGCCAGTCCTTTCGAGAGTGTAGCATCGATGTCATGGGCACCACTCTTTGGCAGTTTTGCTGAGCCAGCCATGCCCAATCATTTTTGTAGCTTGGCATCCACGTGCAGAGAGTCAGCAGGAACGGGGATGGAGGATGGGTGACCTACACAATTGGCCAAAGTGTGTCTCTTGGGGCTCACTTGGCCCACAATTTTCCAAGGTCCTAACCAGAAAGGAGCAAATTTCTTGTGATGTTGCTTGAGGCGTTTAGAGTCCCATAACCAAACGAGCTCGCCAAGAGCATATGTAAGACATCGTAAACGGAAACGATCATTTGCCAATTTGCGGGCCTTGTCCATGTTCTCTCGTACATTCTTCCAAATTGTAGAATTGCCATGCCAAACTTCCTCTGGTGTATAGTTGGTATTGGAGTTCCAGGTAGTACGAATGGCTTGGAGAGCCTCTGGTAGTGTTTGTTCCCAACTTGTGAATCGATCTTCCATTAGTAGCCGACGAATGCGTCCAATCAAGGTCCTCAAGGGTGCTAGAAATATGAGCACTGAGTAGGAAACAGCCACCATTAGCGAAATGGCCATTTGGTCAATACAATGTTTGATGTCTTCGTTTTAACACCAACAAGCTCGTTGTTTTTTTGCATCTTTTTGGTGGGGGGCCTTCCTTGTGCCATTGGCTTCAAGCAAGGTCGCCTCCTGTATATGCCCACAGCCACAGGGGCATTGCCTGATTGGGACAATGGGGCAGGTATACAGACCACTCTGGAGCTACGAACACGTGCCCGAATGTTCACGTCACTTGCTCCAAACTTTGTGATTGATGTGTCTCCAGACGAGCATCTTTTACATTTCAATACTTCTTCAGAAGACTTTGCCTGGTGTCTTGTCATGTTCTGAAGGGATTAATAATGTGTAAAGCCATGGATCGCCGATGTCCTAATTTAGGAACAGCAGAGGAAATGGAGCATGCTCCTTCCTCGCCTGTTCATGGTGTGGACGGGTGTTGTGCCACGACTCACGCCAGATGCTTGTGCCTGCAGGTGTTCTTCTGCCGCCTTCAGCTATGTTGTCCAGATTATGATTCCAGGGCCTCCGCACTTGGCCATGGTGATGACCTGGGGAGCGAATTCAGAAGCCTTTCAAGGTCTGGGTGGGAATGAGCATGACAGCAAGGGTGCTGCTGAACCTCGTGACACTGAATTAGAGACAGAGCTCACCCCTTTCGCCCTGTCGCTTATGAGGTAAGTGTTATGTGACGGGAATGTGATACCGAGTTCATCTGATGTGCTGTATTAATTTCTGTGTGACAAACGCCCAACACTGCCATGTGTTAAGTCAATTGCAACGATGTTTGTACTGCAAGCACAGGTGCACTGTGTTCACGCCGTGGGTGATGGAGCTTAGGATGGGAAGGTTGAGTAATTTGCTTCTCAGGGTAGCTATTGCATCTGTATGTGAAATGCTACCAGACAATATTGACGACTTGCTTGAGCTTGTTTCCTTGCTTGCGACTTGATGTGCTTCTGCTAGAGGGTGCCCTGCTCATCCGTGTTGCGGAAGCCAACTGCAGCTGTCTTTTTCAGCCTTGTTGATGGACGTGCCTTGCAGGTTTGTGACAGGTACAGATGAATATCGAAATGGCGTTTTTAAGCTGATTCCAAAGATCGTGAAGGGGAGCTGGATAGTAAGACAGAGTGTTGGGAGCACACCTGTCTTGTTGGGGCGGAAACTGAAGCAGTATTACTTCAGCGGGCGGGGCGTGTCAAATAGGTATTTCGAGGTAGACATTGACGTTGGTTCTTCTTACACCGCGGCATCTGTAGTTGGATTAGTATCAGGCGCAACGAAGTCTCTTGTTGTCGATCTGGCCATTCTTTCTGAAGGCAAGAGGGTGGATGAATTGCCAGAGGCGTTGATAGGGACCGTCAGGTTTCAGAATTTGGATTTGGGGACGGCGGTTCCTTTGGACACGTCGGCGGAGTACGTTCCCCCTGAATCGGACCAGAGTAGGACGGAGGAACAACAATCCAAAACTGCGAAGGGGTCGTGACGCACGTCATGCGCTGTCCAGACAATTGGCGAAGGCTGCCCCTGGGGATATCGCTTAGACAGAGATATTGTTTATTGCTATTGGGGGGCACGTGGGACCAGCAGCAAGGCGGTGAACGAATACAGGCCGGTTTGGGCATCAATTTGTGATTGTGATTTAATTCAACTCTGCCATAATGGCTGTTTTGGGCTCCAGACCGGCTGAACGCTTCTGTGGCCCAGCTTGCTGCCATGTGTGGAACTTAGGGTCGGCCTTTGCTTCAAGTCTGCATTGTGTAGTTGGTGCGCAGAAGCACCAGAGTGGGGCATCCCAAGAAGGGCCGTGGGGCTGTTGAAGTGTCATGAAACAAGTGATGGGCCCCATTATCATGCTTCGGTGGCTGGGTGCGATCTGTTTTCGTCCCAAATGTAGTGCTGTTGCGGTTCTGAGCCGTGCAAGTGCGCACCATGACCACAGCGAGCCTTGTGCGCAGCCACCTCGAATGTCTAGCGGAGCAAACGCGACGCTCCGCCATGCACCACGCCGGGTTGTGAGTCTGAAACACAGGCATGATGCCTCCTGTTTTCCACACAGGGCACACACAGCGACCCTCGTCGTTGTCTGCGACAATGCGGTCAGCTTTGCTCGGCGGCAAGGAAACTCAATCACATCCACTTACTGTTACACTTTGCAAAGGCGCGTCCTTACAGGGTGCAGGCTGGAAGCAGCCTGTCCCCAGCACTGCGTCCCATTCCCCAAGCAGCATTCACATCCACGCTCGTATCTTGCGGGCTTCTAGAAAAGACGAGCGCATCACACCTGCCTCAACGACTTTGCGTTCCTCCCAAAGCTGTATCAGGTCGCCGATGCAGCACAAATGACCCACATCTGAATGCGCCAAAACTTGGCTACCGAACGCTGTCCTTGACTTGAGAGCTGCGCCATCCCAAATCACAAAGGCGATGGGCAACGGCGCAGACCAGGAAAGCAACCAGCCTGCAAGCCCCCTGTCCTCACAACAGCGAGGTCCGCGCACAAACAAATTCCACAGACGCACACTGACCTGCCCATCAATGATGCCGTCCGTGGTCGCACCGCCTCCCACGGCATCCCGTGAGGTGGCTCAGGCATTCGCCACAACTGCCTCATCTTCCTTTGAGATCTCATCCGAATCCACACCTTCGGGCACCTCTGTCCTGGAATCCGACTCCGATGTGCCGTCGTACACAGCAGCCCTTGTCGCCCTCTCGATCTTCTCCATCTCCTGCGGGTTTTCCTGAAGCCACTGGAGGGTCTTCTCACGTCCCTGTCCAATCTTGACGTTTTCCCAATAGTAATACGATGCCCTCCTCTCCACAACGCGACAGCTCTCCGCAGCGTCCAACACAGATCCAAAAACGTCTATCCCCGTCCCTGCAGGCGATAGAGGTGCGTGTTGCTTCAGCAATGGCGCCCGCCTTGCGTTGGGCAACGAGCAAGCGCACTATATCCGAGCTTCAAGACAAAAAGAAAATTGACGAAATGGGCCTCGGCATCCGATAGCAGTGCTGAAGCCCCACTGTTGTTGAGAACGCCGATCGATGACGACAGGAGACACACATCAGCATCGCATATCTGGCGTTCACTGCATGCAAGTAGCTATCCTGCACAGTACGAGCAAGGACCCCCACGCAATCAAAACACAACTGAACGAGGCTGAACTCTGCGGATACCGGCAGACCAGGCTCTCCTGAGGCGTGGTTGCTTATTGCTGCGCGCTCTGTTGCGCAGAGGGACCTGTCCACCGTGGTCAAAACTGTGAGGAAGACCTGAAGTACATTTTGAATCTGCCATCGCATGTCTGACTACTGTTTTAGGGAATCATTTGAACAGTCAGGCAAGACACGATGATGACGTTTCGCTGAATGGCTCAAAACGCACAAACACGCCCAAAGTGACATGTGCAGAATCCACGTAGAAGGCCAATGCTGGCAACTGAGCGGAGTTCTCAGCTAGGCAGCAATGGGGTCGCTGTACACCTACCAAACATGATGTCCAATTGGGCAACCCTGTAAGGGGCAGCACACTTGTTCTTGACAATCCTGGCAGTGATGTGTATTCCTGTTTTCTCATCACCACTCTTCAACTCAGCTTTTTTCCTCACGTCCACCCGAACAGAGGAATAGAACTTGAGCGCCTGTCCACCGCTCGTCGTCTCTGGGTTGCCGTACAGGACTCCAATCTGCAACAGGCAAACAATGTGCCTCATCGGCTCAAGACTGGAGCTGCTGTCAAAAGAGGTGGCAGCCACACGAACAACCCTTGTTGTAGGCACAAGCAAGTGCATGCTGCTGCTTGATGCCAATTTCAATATGATGCTGCAAGTTTCTGCAGACACAAACAGCCATGGAAAGTTCAGGAACCAGACCCCCAATCTGCAAGCGGCACGTTGTGGCTGCAATGATGGCGGAGGGAAGCGGACCATGACATTTGCCCATTGAAATTTGCTGCCTATCCGTGGCATCAGCCAGCATGGCATAGCTTTTGTCAATGATTGTGATGAAGTTTCCAGCCTACCCAGAGCATTAATTCCTGGAACATCTGTTCCAACATCAAGTGCCGCAGTTAGGCCAGCTTTGCCGGAAGCCATGCTGTGCCAAACCCTTGACAGCACAAAGCCACACCTTGTTCCTTATCTGGTTGAGGAATATGATGGTGCAGCCCATCTGGCTGGCGCTGGTTGACAACCTCCTCAGAGCCATGCTCATCAGGCGTGCCTGAGCACCAACCTGACTTTGGCCGATCTCCCCTTCGATCTCAGACTTGGGCGTGAGAGCCGCCACAGAGTCGATGCAGACAAGGCTGACAACGCCCGACCTTGCAAGTTGATCAACTGCACTTAATGCCATTTCACCAGACTCTGGTTGGCATAGATATAGTTCAGGTATATTGATACCGACTCCCTGCAGAAGAAAGCAGCAAGGCCATGAGATCAGAGCATGACCATGGCACCATCTCACATTGTACGGTTGGGACACCTTTTCCACAAGTATGACACTGAGCATATGTGCATGAACAGGCATGTTTAACTTGTTGATGCAGCATCGTTGTAACCATGGCAACCTGGCCCCACCGCGCCATAGACGTGGTCAAATGCATGCTCCGCATCCACCAAGCACGCAATCCCACCACGTTTTTGGACTTCTGCGATAGCATGGAGGGCAAGAGTAGTCTTTCCAGAACTTTCAGGGCCAAAAATCTGATGGGAGGCAACACAAAAGGCAGTTCAGTCGTTCAGCACAGCGGCAGTGCATGAAAAGCAATGGCAATGTTGGCTAGGACAAGATGAGCAGCAGCAACTAGTGCAGCGACGCACAATACAGCAACCTTGGCAGATACTGACCAATGCACACTACAAGCCTTCGGTTTCAGCAACAAGCACCCGTGGTCGTTGACGCAAACAATCACCTCAATAATGCGCCCTTTGGGAAACCCCCCTCCTAGTGCCAGGTCCAGGGTCAGAGCCCCACTGGATGTGGTTGCACTGTGGCAAATAACAGTCAGCAAACAGTCAGCAAACAGCAGCCAACCACCACTGTTTCCTGCCCACTGACTGTGTGGCAATCAGGACACTCTTTAGGGCACACACACAAGGCTGTCAACAATGCCCAACAACAATGCTCATCTTTGGCTGCAAGGTGAAGCCCAGTGCTTTTTCTTGTGTTGGCAAACGTTGTCCAAGGCGTCATTTCTGTCCACGCAAGGAGGCACACAACACCATCTGCCACTCACATTTTTGATCTTGGGGCACACCCAAGCTTCATGAGCGCCCCTTTGCCGTATTCATTGTTGATTTGCTTGACGACCTTCTCCAGAATCTCAATCTGGCACAAAAACAGCGGCAAGAACTGCCTTGATGTTGCTTATCTGTTTCTGAGAATGGGCCTGCTGCGGTATGGTCTGCAACTAGGGACCAACCGAACCACAGCAGACCCCTGCCGCCAGAAATTTGTACAAGGTTCCGCTCAATTCAGCCGCATGAAGCCCCACAAATACGACCACTCCCCAGAAATTTCCCAAAATTGCTGCGGCTCGCCGCGACCATGCACATCATTCCCAACCCGTCCACGGACCCGCTGCTTGTAGCTCTGGTCGCCGATCGCCTCCGCGCCCTTCGACGCCTTCGCGGCACTGCGCACGTGGCCCGCCCACGGCGCCGGCCGCCCGTGGCGCCCCGCCGGCGCGGACAACCGCCACATCACCGAAAAGCCTCCCCGCATGCCCTGCATGACTGGCGCCGCAGACTGAGCGTCCCAGCAGTGGGTGTTCGTGGGCTCGCGCCGTACCTTGTGACGTTGGCCACGAGCGCGGTGTACTGCCCAGGGCCGCTTTGGACGGAAGCAGCAAAACCCTTGCCCCGAACTGAGTAAGGTCCAATGTCACACATTGGGCCCCCCCACACACAACTCTGCCGCAGCCCTGGGCCCCCGATTTGGGGCGCGTACACGGACCTCAATTGCACCAATCCCTGATTCGATGCCCAGACCGCCCCACCGCCCCACTGCCAGCCGCCGTCAACTCGGGGCGCGGGACGGGGCCCTCCGCTCACCGCCGGCCACAGCGACCAGACCCAAACTTCTCCGAGAGCCACGCACGCGCTGAGGCCCCCAACGCGTCCTGGCGCGCGAAATTTTGACGGAGGTCGCGGGAGTGCGCCGGGTGGGAAGCTAACGCAGTGCTTCGCCCCCGCCGATTGCGAAGCCGCCCGGTGCGCGCATGTCCCGAGCCCGCCTGTTGGGCCGTCCCGGGGCCCGCGCGGCGCCTGGGGTCGATTTGGGGGACTGATCTGCCCGGGGGGGGGGTCGTGGGCCGCCGGACGTCTGCGCTGACGCCCCTTTGGCGCGCCTGGCGTTTGTGTGTCACGGTCACTTGGCGGCCACGGGAGCGCGCGTTCGGCTTGGCGGCCGCATGTTCAAAGTCCCGGAGCTCAAGGGGCGGCGGTGGTGGTCTGTTGTTCATAGGACCCGGCGTGGAGCGCCGCGTGTGTGGGCCTGTAGGGTTTGTGGGCACTGTGATTATTTTCGGTCGGTTGGCGCGTGGGGCTCGGTCCCGGGTGTGAATGGGAACGTCGCGCTGGTCGGCAGGCCGGATCAATCGCGGGGAGAGGATCGTCAGCGCGCGGTTTGGGATGCGTCCCGCGGCCAGTCTGCGCCCCCCTCCTGCCGGGCCCCCAGTCTACCAGCCATGAGGTCCATGCGTTAAACATGCCTTGGGGCTCCGCGAAGGCCGCGCGACGTCCCTGGCGCCGCGCCAATGCTGCTGCCGCCATCCGGCACATGTGTTCCGAATCTCCCCCCCCCCCCCCGGTCCTCGCGAGGCCCATTCAGGCCCCCGTGGGCCGCTCCCCCCTTGTTTTCTGGCTCGTTCGCCGCTCTCCAGCGTGTGGCCGTCCGCGCGCCCCCCCCCCTCTCGCGCCGCGTGTCTCACCCCATCGCGTGCCCCCGCAAAACACCACATACCCCAGGCGCGCGCTTTCCACCCGCTTCCGTAGCCTCCCCTCAAACCGGCTCCGGGGCCCCTCCAAACCGCCCCCCGATCCCCGTCTGACCGCGTCCTCCCTTCCCGCAGGTGCCGCCGGGGATGCCGCAACAGCAGCTGCGCCATTCGTCCGCAGGGACGAACCCCCTGCCCGGCTGCAGGGACGGGTCGTGGCCCGCCGAGGCCGCCAGCCGCCAGCAGCAGCCAGAGGGCGGCGCCTGGAGGAGGATGCGCTCCAGGTGGGGTCCAGCCCGCCTCAGGGGCAATGCTCGCCCTCCGACGCGCACACGCGGCCCGCCCCGCGTCAGTTTCCCCCCTGATGGCATGCCCCCCTCGCTTCCATCCATCGCTACGAATGGGACAACCTGATGACCAGTCCGATGTACGGCGCACGGACGGGGCCCAATTGTCGCCCCCGGCTGCCGGGGGATGTACTGAGACCGACGGGGCGCTGCGCTGTACAACGTACGCAGGTCGCTGAGGAACGGGGCCGCGAGCACGGCCAGGCGCGCGGGAGGGGTGTTCAAGTCCGCCGCGGTGCAGGTCCTGCTGGAGCGCAGGTCGTTGATGACCACAGGTGAGGCCGGCTGTTTGGCAAAGGCGAGCTGTGCACTCGCCCCCCACCCCCCACCCCCGGCCCCCGTCCGCTGCTCCGGGTGCCGAACGGCCGCGCGGGGCCGCCGACGTGAAGTTGACGGTGTGCGCCGCAGGGGAGATCGCGAGGCGGGCGATGCAGCGCGGTTTGTTGAAGGCGTGCAAGGGGAAGACGCCGGAGGCGACGATGGCGTCGGCCCTGTACACCGAGGTCAAGAGCAACGGGGCGAACTCGACGTTCGTGAGGTGAAGAGCCTAATGAAAGGCCGAGTGACATCCCACCCCCGCCCTTTCATGCCGTGTTCGCCATGTCTCTGTCCTCCCACGCCTGCAAGTTTGCAATCTCAACCCCTGTTGAGACCCATTAATTGGGGACTGCGCCGCGCCCGAAACATGGCGCTGGGCGCGCTGATGCGGTGGCGCGTGACATGTTGTGCTTTGCGCCCTTCGCCAGGCCCCAGGAAGGGCTGTTCGGCCTGAGGGAGTGGAAGACGGACGACGAGCTCTGCAGCCTGGTGTCCGCCGACGACGACGCGTTAGTAATGCCCGCGGAGGAGAGCCGTAGGGCGGCCCGCAGGCGGCCCCAGTGCAGGCCCGTGGACGCGCCGTGTCACAGGCAGTCAAAGCGCCGCAGGGCCGGGGGCCCATCTGCGCAGACGGCCAGCGGCGGGGACGAGTTTGACGGACTGCGGCTGCTCGCGGAGGCCGTCGAGATCGACTGGTGGGCGCACCCGGCGTCTGTGCGCTTCTGAACTTGGCGCCTCGCGCCGTGAGGCAAACGTCGCAGCCATTTGGTCCCCAGACGGTTTGGCGATCCAGGAACGGGATTGCGGAGGGACTGGGAGGGTCCTGACGGCGTTGGGGAGAGTGGGGTTGAGTTGTGTGTTGACGATGGGGGGCCCTCGGCTTCCTGGGGTACCTTGTTGATTGTCTGTAGAATGTGTGAGCGTAGTGCTTTTGCGTTGCGCCAACTCTGTTGAATCTGGGCGCATCTGGCGGCTGCATTTGAGCGGCCATGTCGGGCTCAAAATGATTGCTGTGACTGCGTGCTGCAGCGCCGAGTTCAAGGGGGAGTTTACGGAGAATGGAAGGCAGCACGGCCTGCAAACGCCCGCTGGAAACGAACGTGAAAAAGGGGACCGTCGTACGGTGAACATGCAGTTTGGACAACAAGCAGTCTCGCCGCGGCAGTGTTCAGACAGACATCTGGAGACCAGCGCAGCGTGTGAGGACAGAATTGGACATCGTGAGCACTCAGCCGTGGGAGTGAAGGGTAAGTTGTCCGCCTTTGTGGGTGTGGACGTGGCGAGATGGCACTTCAACCAGTGGTAGCGCGTAAAGTTGGAGCTGTGCCCAGCTTGTGTTGTGGGTTGTGTAACCTGAGTGCTCTGGAGCCATCATGCAGTTCAGTTTGAGCATGGGGATGTGGACTAATGACCAGGGGACAACAGGTGACATAGTCCCTGCATGGAATTGGCCATGGCACAGAGACGAGGTGGATTGTGTCAATGTCACCACCTTTTTGCATTGGTGGTTGTAATGATGGGCAATACCACTGCTGTTTATTGTTGCAATCCTCACCATCAGTTTACCTCCTGCAGCTGAAGAAGCATCCTGTGGAGGCAGGCTGCCCGATGGCGACTGCCAATCCAGCCTACAGATCACCAGCACTGACCAGACTTCATCAGAGAGGGCTGCCACGATGTCTACTGGGGGCGCCCGTGAGGCGCCATCAGCATCAAGCATCATGCCTTTCGAGGCAATAGTCGACAGCATAACTAAGATGGAGAAATTGTTGGGGCAAGGTCACCCACTGGTGAGCACTGGCATATCATGCTGACCTCGAACAGTGCATTCCAAACTGTAGCTGTGGCTGAGGTGCAGCTGACTTTCGCTCAACAGCCCCTGTGCAGAGTAAGAAAGTGCTTGCTGTGGTGTAGGCTCTTGTTTGTGGTCTTGTATGCAATGCCTGGATTCAGTGTTAAGCCATCTCACAGTCTCCTACTGGTGAATGCTATGGGAAATTGCAACTCTGATTCCTACCATTTTCAACTGCGTTGTTTGCCCGCCAGGGCCATGTTTTGTGCTGTGCTGCTGTGCATCTGTTTCCACGACCACAGCTGGACACCAGCATTCAAGATAGTCACCATTGATCGGAAACCCATTTGACACCCAAATAGCAGTGCTGCTGCAAATGTTTGGCCCAAAGCTTCCTGCATGTCTTCAGAGCAGTTGTATTGCAGAATGAGCCAACTGTGATGTGCCTTTGTGACAAGGTCGGCCAGGGCTACCTGTTCCTCAGCCGCGTCCTTCAACTGCAGGGCACGCTGCCTGCTGTGCTAATGGCGCATGGCGCCCTGAGCCGTGTTTATCAGATAATGGGTGACCTCATTGGCACAAGCAACTTGCAGACCTGGCCCTCCTGGCAAGATTTTCAATATCTGTTTGGAAGGCTTGGCCAACAGTTGGAGCATCGAAAGCAGCTTGAGCAAACCCACACTGCAGCAGCAGGACACGACCTGACTGCGAATGTTGTCAATGTGAAGGAAGAGGCTGTGGTCGAAGAAATGGCTCAGGCGCCACCCCAAAATGTGAAAGAGAATGGGGATGAATAGTATGTGCGGGGAGGAAACTGTGGCTGGACTGGCGGGCGTTGGCTGCCATATGGCCACATTGGTGAAAGTGTTGGTTCCAACGCATTCTGGATTGAAAGCAATCTGTTAGGATTGTGACAATAGGACAAGAGGATGGGCCACTGATTGAATAAGCTGAGAAGAGGCACGCAAGGACACAGCCTGTATCGCTGTACCAATTCTTTTATTTCGAGCTTCTGTTCTGCTGGCCGATATGTGCCGGGAAAGTTGCACTCCTGTGTGCATTGTATGTTAAGACGCTGCATTTGTATCCCATACACAAGATCCTCAGCACTTTTGGTCAAGTTAAATTTCTTGCGGTTTTGTTTCTGCTCGAGTGGCCCTCATGTACCCGACCCCGTGTTTCCCACATGAGAATGATATTGCCATTGAATTCCAGCCGGTGCCTTTCACCATCGGTTATCAGAGGTTCCCGCTATGTATGGCATACATTTGTGCCATGTCGCTTCTTCAATAGTTGTGCCAAAGAGCCTTTGATTCGCCTCTGACGCAACGTGCCAAATGGGTACATGGCCCCCTCACCAGCCCGCACCCACCCGAGTTATAGAGTTACCGGAGTTATAGTGCTTCGCTCTATCAGGGCGGATTGGGTAGGAGCGAAACTACATAAATTGGGGACCAAGAGGGAGATCATAAACGGCCCCCATGCTCAGCTCACCTGATAGCTTACCACCCTCAAGGATGACTGTCCTTGAAAGCCTGCCCAAACGCAATGGAACAGAAACCAAAGGGCGCTGTAAGAAAAGGCCTGACAAGATTCTCCTCCTTGGCAGAAGTCCATTTGTTTCCCTTGCTGCTTCCTTTTGCTCGGTTGAACTTGTGCTGGTGCTCCGCCCAATGCCCTGATCGTTGGCTGTTGCTGCTCTTGCCCTTTGTCCTTCTTGTCCTTTTGCAGCGAATGGGGTGTTGTGAGCAACACGTTGTCCGCGTTTTGCACGCCCACCCCCCTTCCCCCGTCCCCTCCTCCCGAATTGTTGATGCGGACGACCTGGAACGTCTGCAGGCGCGGATGCCTATTGTCGATCAATCCGCCAGTCAATACCTGACGTGCTTGCGGGTCGATGGGTCTTCACCCGGTCTCAATTCGCCTGAGTGTGCTATGTTTGCATTTGGTATTCTGTTCCATTTCCGACGTCAAACAGTTTAACCATTCAGTGGTAATACCACTGTTGCAATTTCTTGCTCGCTCATGTACTCGTTCACAAACAGCCAAATCGAATGGCTCAGGGCCTTGCCTTGGGGGCTTGTTCCACGCCGAGGTGACCTAGTCACACTGGTCCAGCGTGGGTCGGCCAATGCCTGGACTGAAGTCGACTCAACCATGCAGCTGCCGTCGCGTGCATGCGTGAGGGTGTGGGTTTGTCTAGGGGGTAGGCTGGTGAACAGAAACGGGTCCAGGCCATGCCTGTCGAAACCTGTAGTATAAAAGCGACAGACGCACAGTATTCCACAGGCATGCCTGAAGCATTGAGGTTATGTCTCCAGTTCATGGCGCCCGCAGACATATGAATAACCTGGTGTGCATGTGGAGTGCTCTGGCTCATCGAGACCGGATGTCTGGCGCATTGCTCGCTCAGTGCCACCGGGATCTTTATAAAGTGCGATGCGGAGCACGCCATTCAGTCTGAGCAAGAAACTGCGGTCGAGATAGCGGCTGCCCCGGTGGGGTCACACCTTTGCATGGCACGCGGTCGACAACGAGAGACATGGTCCTGGAGCTGGCACCCAGCGCAACCACATTTATGTTTTGCCAACAGCAATCAAACGCCTGACGCGACTGCCGGAGGGAATGCTGCGGCAAGCGCTTGACATTGAAGCATTCTGCTCATGCTGGGTGGGTTCCATCCCACGTCCATGCACCATTGTTGTCATAAGCGCAGGAGCTTCCACATCCCAACCATAACACTTCCAAGCGAACAGAGAATTCATTGCACATGGATAACTGGAGGCGCCCATCCAGCCATGCGAAGGTGGGCACGGCCATACAGTGTCCACCTATGACACAGCACATGGTGGCTTTCTTTGATACATGCCGATGGCCCCGTACGTCATATAGTGCCACGCATGCGCACAACGTGCGGTGCCTATTGTTTGCCATGAGAACAGCGGGCCACGCACTGGCGCATTGTCCAATATACCGAGCTTCGCCACCGTAATGCATAACGATGACCACCAGAGGCACTCCATCTTGAAACGCAGTTTTTCCAGAGCGTCAGCACACATCTACAGTTCCCAATCCTTCATGCTGGCCGAATGCTCAGGCGCAACTCGATGATGCCCTTGCTGTCCCTGGGGAGTCCTTCTGCTTTGCCTCGCCTCGGCAATCCATTTCGATATGCTCGTCAATTCAATAGCCCTTGCAGCTTTGATGGCATCGGTATCTTCAGGTCGAGAGAACATCAAATCCACATGATGTCCCGCCTGGGAACCCAGACAGAGAATAAGCACCTGTAGGTGGCTTTCACAAATGGCATCAGACCTCTTTATTGGCAGGGAAGGCAGAGAGGCATCGTTGACGGCGTGCTCATATGAGCCACAAGAGGCTCAGGGTACATTATGCCATGCAGCCGCTGTGGCCTCCAAGCCATTTGCACCACCCATACGTTCGCTCTCAGACAGGCAATGAGTCCTTTGCGCCTACGCCTTCTGCCCCACGGGAGTGCAGAGCTGCCGACGATGACGTCCAAGCTGTCCATTCGAACTCATTCATACTGGAACTGACCAGATAAAGGACAACTTACCTCTCAGTGCGCTTTCCCACAGCGAAAGCGGCTGCGCATTTTTGACTGACAAAATTTTCCTACCTCGGCAATGGTGAACACTGTGACGGAGTCTGACTCGTGGTTCGTGACTCCACCGCCTCTCCATGGGTCGTACTCGCCGTTGCTAAATACTATGTTGGAGGTTGTGTGGATTTTTCTTCCTCCCCACTCCGTGGTTGCCCACAAAGGCCGCGGCAGTGCGCCAATGTCATTCACGCACCATTTAATGGTCTCTGACTCATTGTAAGGAGCATCCCAGAACATGTCATTGACTGCTCACCACACACATTGTCAGCTGGCAACACAAGCCATCCTGGCAGTGAACAGCTCCCAACGCATTGACTGATATGTACTAGCTGCTCAGAAAAGCGCAGCATATCTATTCCTGGACCTTATGCAGAACAAACCATCACGCTGGCCTGGGTACATTGTCTTGTCAAGCAGCACAGCATACCAGGGTCCATTCTTCTGCGCACAGTATGTGCCCAATCGGACAGACATATGACGATACTGGTGCCAAACAAGAACTTAGAGACAACAGTCCAGATGACCTTCCACAATTCGTGCCTAAAAGTTGAGTGAATGAAATACAATACCCTTGCAGAGCTCACCTCCATCCATGCCAAAAGGCTGGAACATCTCTGTGCAGTATTGCCAATTCCATAGATGATCAACAACAGACGAAGCGTTGTTGACGCCAGCCAAGAAATCGAAACAATCCAAATTGCCAGTACTGTTGTACAGCAAGGACGCAGCACTTGCGATACCTGCGGCCAGGCAACGAAATGCATATAAAGAGAAGCCAGCAGCAGTATGGGTAGGCCGCATGTTCCCAATTGGAACACGAGTTCCAGCTTGAATGCTGAGGTGCAGACTGTGACAGACAAGAAGCCCACCAGTGCTGAACAACAGATGGGACGCACTGCCTCAGTAGTCAAGGGTCACTCCACTATTGCAGACGGTGATCCAAGCATCCTGCCCTGGTGTGCCACAAAGAACACCGGGTATGCTGTTTTGCAGCACAAAGGGTACACTGCCATCAGAAAAGAAACACCCAGGGCCTATAAAATTCAGCATTTATGAATGCTTTGCACCTGCCAGAAGATCTGTTCCATTCATTGGCTCTGACAGAAATGTGTTGCAGGCTACCCGCATTGGATATGCAGGCAGCGATCCGCCACCGTTGGTCAGGTAGTTGCAGGGGAATGGGTAACTCCCTTCTGCAAACAGGCTGAAAGGGGTGGCAGCCCAGTTGATGAGGTTCCATGCATTGCCTTTCATGGGCACTGCATCACAGATCCCCATTGCCTCCTTCACCGCAGCGCGCCCTGCAGCAGAAGATACAGCACATACCCTGTTTTGCGCACCCAGACGTGAATCTCCCTGGGGGAATGAACTGTTAGAACATCAATGGAGCAATCAAAGTGGAGCAAAGTGAAAGACACCAGAAGCACATGCTCAAGCGTCTTGACAATCTGCAGGACAGGTCTCTCCTAGTATTCAAGTGTATTGTGGGCACATCACCAAAACAATCACCAGCACACTCACTGAACATTCTGCAACAGTGGATTCGATTGTGAGCAGCATGAAGCTCAATTCGTCACATACCCAACAGAGAAAACACACACATGTGCTGCATGCGAGCAGTCCATTTTCAAAGCAGTGCACAAGGATCATGTAGTCGCACCTTCATCTGTTTTGAACATCTCTAGCATTGTGTCCCATGCTCTGCGAACATTGGGAACACAAGATTCTGCACAACCAGCCGCTGGACTTGCAGCATATGTCACAATTTTATAGTAGGCACCTGTGTCATAGGCAGGTTCCTGCACAATGGGGGATAGAAAGCGCAAGGTGGTCAGCTTCACTTGCCTTCACTGTGAAATCCAACTCTAGAAACTCTGGCCAAGCAGGATTGGCTATTGACACGATGAAAAAGCTGGTGGGGCCACTGCAAATTGGCTGAGAGCATGCAACAGTGTGTACAACTGACACCCAGTGTCTACTTTTTGAAAGGTGCATGGGGTGAGGCCTGCCCAATTCTGGGGATGCAGCCGCCCCACACAAAGAGCACAGTGAGCACAAAGAGCACACAGCGATCAACAGAAGCAGCAGCCGCATACCTCACCCAAGAAAGACCATATTGGTGCCGATGCTGCAATCACCCCATCTACAACATGGGGGTACTTCATCCGCATCCACGCTGCCAGCATGCCACCTGATGTGCAAGGCAATCAACAATTTGACTACCTGCGCACTCCCAATCCCGCCAAGGGCAGCATTGATGGCAACATTTCCCACACACCACAATCACAGACAAATTGGCAAGCACAATCTGCAAAAGGGAAGGTCACAAAATTCTGCGGGCATGTTGGACCTAAACTCTCTCCACTGCAGAGCTCTGTTGACTGAAATTCACAGTCTTTGCTACCTTGCCAATGACGTGAAATTCCACCTACAATCAGCCAACCACTTTGCCCTGAATATCCCTTCTCAGCACTCACCATACGACCCACCAAAACCAACTACTGGAGAATTGGTGGCATTGAGCTGACATTTCAAACCAGAGATAAATTCCGCATAATCTGCAAGGGCCTGTTCTGTTGTGAGGTATTGCTTTGCCTTTTTCCCTTCACCTCCAGAAGGCACTGAATTTCCATAGTACCTGCAGACAATCATAACTGGTAACTTCAATTCAGCATCAACTTCAGCAAATCCTGGTTACGTTCCACATTTGCCCTCCGTTGTCCTGTGGGATTACATGCCCAAACATTCTGGCAACTAGCAAGCACACCTGCAGTTGAGTGGGAATGTGGTAGGCAACAAAAAGAAGAAGCTGGGGACTACACAGTGCCTGTTGAGGTTTGAAGGATGCAATGCCGTGGGGGGCTATGACCTTGTAGTCACAGCCAACCTCTGCACCATGGGGATCACAACATGAACATCACACCCCACCCACAGTTATTCTGGCATTTGTACAACTATGTCAGCTGCCCAAAGCAACGTCAAGAGAGTATCTTCAGCAGGGCATATGATGCAGTTGGACATGTGCAAACTGAACATCAGCTGCATCATGCAAGTAATGCGGCTTCCTTGGGAGCTGCAACAGAGACAGTAATAACTTTTCTTTGACTTCACGATGATCTTGTTCGGGAAAGGGGAAACAGTCAGCTGATAATCCGAAAGTTTGGATTGCTAGTAGTCGCATCACAGCTTCCCAGCACTCCAATCGTTAACAAGATAGTAACCCAATTTCTTGTCACTTGGAGAAACGAGTCACTTCAGCTTCTAGGTCATCAATCACTGTTGGTTTTGATGACTGGACGCAAGTCCTAATAAAAACTAGCACTGGAGTTTGACCAGCCACCTGTTGGCAACATTCGGGGCAGACTTTTGTCAGCAGTGTGCCACTCCCAAGTGGGCCACAAGCCTGCCAGGCACCAAGCTGTAGAGAAACTGAATCCCTGGAAGTCACCTGTGCTCCACAAACACCAGCAGGGCGCCGTAGTCCTGTGCATGTTCCCACATAAGTCCCGTCGCATTCAGGTACCTGCATATGTCAGTCCCCTGTCAGTGTTTCAGCCAGTTCGCAGAAACCGAGGCCACGCTGCTCCCAGTGCGGTATTGTGCTTGACTTACAGCGTGACATCTGCCTCATTCCCGAGGTACACGAAGATTGGGCCTTTCTCTCCGTCATGTGATGCCTTCCAGAAGGAAGGACACAGGAAGTATCTTTGCGAGTAGGTTGCACTCCCATCAGGTGGATCCTACACGAGCACACGCGCTCTCAGATGCCCGCCAAGCAGACCAAATCACTGCTTTTCTGGAGAAAAATCTTGCCGAAGGACAGTTCCGCCACTCGGCGTCTGCTTCCAGAAAGATGCGAGAAGGTTGCACTCCCCCCATGAGGATCCTGTACGAGCGCACACGCTCTCAGATGCCCACCACACAGACTAATCACTGCTTCCTTGAGAAAAATCATGCCTATGGAGAAATCAGCCTCTGGGCGTCTGTTTCCAGGGAGATGACAAATGGCATGGGTTGTGCCACCCCTGGGCTCCTCACCCACGCGAAGTGATCCAGCGTGGCGTTCCAGTACTTCTCCTCGCACAGAGTGATCGGCTCGGGGCCTTTCCAATAGCGCGGCTCCGCGCTGAAGACCTCGCCCCGAAGAACGCTGCTGCCGCTGGGCCGCGGTCGGGCATCGACCTTGATGGCGTTCGCCAGCGCCAGCACAAGGCACAGGAGGGCGCCCTCGGCGTGAAGCGGACGGCGCCGACCCTGTTGCCACGCATGGGCCATGTCCAACTGCGGTGGGGAAGGCACGCGCTCCGTTGCCCCCGGGCTCCAGGCCGTGCGTGGCTTCTTGGCGCACGGGTGCGCGGGGTCGTCGCTAAATTCGTGTCGCGGTTGTCGCTAAATCCATGCCGCGGTCGGTCACGTGCGCTGCTGACGTGCCCTTATGACTGTTTGGAGGCGAGGGTGCTCAAGCAGGGAATGTGGACCTAGACACGCATTGCATACCGGAAAATGTTTGCAGCGGAAAAATTTTCAAGCATTTCGTCCTCGAGTTGGTGTGCAAATGTTTTTTTTCACAATTTTCGCCCCGTTTTCTGTGTGTAACCTAACTTGATAATAATTATGGTTGTCCAGTGAGGCTGATGAGCCACAATCAGCATCACAATGTTCCTTCACAGCGTGTGCCCGACCCAGATCCCCAGGCATAAATGAGACATTGCAGCCTATAACGAGACATGCAGAAAGAGTGCAAGTCAACTGGGAATGAATGAGACCACAAACAGGTCAAGCAATCACTTCTGAGATAGAGTGTGACAAAGCTACAATGCGATATTACCCTCTTTGATATTGAGCACGCCGGTTTCTCTCAGAGTTTCACAAAAAGCTCAGCTGTCTCTTTATAAGGGCAACTTCACAAGCCAAGCTCGCAATATGGAGTGATTCCCCACGCATCCACAACTCAACAATGCCAATGAATGATTCGTACAATTTTTTGATGAGGATTGTGAGGGCAAAGAAACGGTTTATACATGATTTGTGACACAATGTGTATTTTATGGTGAAAAGCAAATATGGAGGATATGGTGTCACGGTGAATGTACATAGGGACAATGGAGATGAGGAAGTGAGCATTATTGCAGTGATTGTTTTTTATATTTTGTATACACTTGGGGTTAAGGCAAATATGTCATTCTCGGTGTTTTCTTATGTTTTGTATGCTTTTGAGTCAGTATTAGACCGGTGGGTGGTTTTGGGTGGTGAACCAAGTACAATGGGGTTCGTTTACAATGATTATGATGCTGTTGTAGTACTTCCCACAGGGAACCAAATGTGGGGCCTTGCGAGAAGCTGTGTGAACCTATTCCTTTCATTCTGCCTCCGCGCCTCCACTGGACACCAAACGGCCGCCCAGGGCTGATCCCCAACCGAAAGCCGGACCCACCTTACAGAGAACAAGCGCTTGCCCCACCAAGCCCGCGACGCAATCGTAGAGGGAGCCAGCGGTCGATCCGCTAGCCATCGGGCAAGGAGGCGCCTAAGATCCAACCCATTACGGCGCCCATCAGCCATGGTAATTTGGTTGATACACTCATCCTGTAAGGCATCTGGTTGCGGCCTCGCTTCCCATGCTTGGGAGTGACCATGCATGAGCGCGCAAGGGTGTTTGGTCAACCTGACATGGTTTTGGAGCCAGGAACAGATCTTGGAGGTCCAAGCATCCAATGGCAATATAAGAAGCATCGCCATCCTATTTGCCAATATCCGAATACCGCCATCATTTTGGCGGTGCTCAGAGTGGTGGTGTTGTGGGAGGCAGTGGTGGATGTGAGGTGTTGCGGCCCCGTCGGCAGCCGCTGGTTTCCGGAGGCGTTGGGGTCGCCCTGCCCTGCAGCTCGGCTGTTGGAGGTCAGCCGGCCCTCTCCACCTTGGACGGTGGGCGTATCCGGGGCAGTCGCTCCTGTGGTCGCGCGGTGGGCCCAATGCTCGACGGGGATCGATCCCCGGGCCTGCTGTCGGCGAGAGGTGGCGGCGCAGCGAGGCGGTGGTTCGCTGGCTCGCGGGAGGCCAGAGAGTGGGCCAAAGATGTTACACGGATTCACAGCATGCGCGCGCACATATCGCATGCGCGATGCCCGATCGCGGGTCCATCGCGGTCACATCAAGACAAGACAAGTCAATGTGCGCGTCTAGGCACCAAGTCACCGTCCACCGTTCACCTACGATCGACCTAATGTCCTCTAATTCCAAGCATCTAACACCCGACCCCCTGGCCCTAAGTACTACGACTTCAGGAGGCCATATCTTCATCAATTCTTAACGGATTTGGGCGTTTAAAAGCGCATTGGAACCAGGAAGCTCTTAATAACGTCCCCAAAAGGTCGATTTAGCCAATTACGTAATTCCCACTCCAGAAATGTCAAATAAGCCTAACCCCCAAGCAGCCATGTCACAATACTCCCCCCTTGGGGTAGCTTTCGCCCCCGAAAGCACACTATCCCATACTAGTGTCTTCCTCGGGCTTGTCCCTCTTGATCATCTTCTGGAGCTCTCTGGCGTAGGTGAAATTTCCAGCCGGTATCCAGGAGGCATCGTCAATACTCCACCCTGTCCATAATACCAAAAATTCCTTGTGCCTCCTGCCATTGGGTCCTGCCCATCTCCATCGCAGCAGCTTCTCAACTTCGTACGGTTCATCAGCTTCTGGCTCGATCTCGGCGTCATCTGACTCCTGTGGGGTGGACCATCTGGACGATCTAAATGGTCGAAGCAAACTGGTGTGAAAGACATTATGTATCCTCCACCCTTCTGGTAGCTTCAATTCGTAGGCCACTGATCCCACCTGACGGACCACAGCAAATGGTCCTACGAACCGTCGCTTCAGTTTGCGTACAGGTGCATTTTTCAACTGTAGATGCTCTGTACTGAGTAGCACCTGTTCACCACTGTGAAACCTCTGTTCTCTGCGCCGCTGATCGGCCTGACACTTCTGCCTCTGCTGAGCCTGATGAACTGACTGCATCGCCCTTCTGAATGTTTTCTTCATCCTGCTGACAAAGACGTTGACACCTTCAATGTTGGTCTGGTCTACGTCCTTGATCAGATCCAACGGGGTCACTGGCTCAAAGCCATAGTTCAGATAAAAGGGTGTGTACCCCGTGGATGGCGATGCGCTGCTGTTGATCACGAATTCCACCATGGGCAAGTATCTCTCCCAATGAGTGTCTTCCTGACTGCCATGGATCGTACACCTGAGTACTTGCTCCACCACCCTGTTGGCTGCCTCTGTCTGTCCATCTGTCTGGGGGTGGTGAGCGCTGGACATCCTCAGCTTGCTGCCCAAAATCTTCCAGAATTCTTGCCAAAACTTCGATACAAATCTGGGATCTCGGTCACTGACGATCGATCTGGGGATCCCGTGAAGTCGTCCAATCTGTTCCCAGTAAACACGAGCTGTCTCAGTAGCAGTGATGGTCTGCTGGACTGGTACTAAGTGTACCATCTTGGTAGCTCGGTCTACCACCGTGAGGATCCCATCGTTTTTCTTCTCACTGATCGGTAGTCCCATGATGAAGTCGAGGCTGACATCACTCCATTTTTCCTCTGGAAGTTGCAATGGCTGAAGGAGTCCTGCTGGCAACTTGTGGACACTTTTCTCTGACTGGCAGACCTCACATCCCAGCACAAAGTCTCGTACATCCACTGTGTGATCTGGCCAATAGAAATTCTGTTGTAACTTCTTGAGTGTCTTGTGGTAACCAAGATGTCCCGCATATGGTACTGTATGTATCTCTGCCATAATCTTCTTGCGGGCGTCCTCCACATCTGGTACCACCAATCTCCAAGGTTGCCTGTCCTCGGTGTTGTCCTTCCACTTGATCTCAATAAATCCATGGTTCAATCGGTAGTCACGATTCCCGATCCTAGTGACTTGTCCTTGGGCAGATTCCAACTGATTCAAAATTTCTGCCCATCTGCTGTCTTGCTTGTAGCCCTCTTTTATAGAGTTCCTCAAGTCTTCCTCCAGAGTAATCCTGGTGCTGGTCACCAATAAAGAATGTAAAGAATTTTGTTCCCCACTTGCAACCACCACTGCACCCTTAGGACTGGATTTTTTAAATATTTCGTCCAGTTCCTTTTGAATATCGTTTTCCCCACTGTCACCCTCATGAAGACGAAGACGCTGGACCAATGACTCCTCTTCTGCGTGCACATCTGCCATGCATCTCAACTCCTGAATACTCCTGCGCATCAGAAAATCTGCAGGGTTGTCCTTTCCTGGTATGTGGACAATGTCGCAATCGTAGCCCTGCAGAACCTGCACCCATTTCCACACCCTCCTGTTCACTGCAGGCTGGTTGGGCAGGTTTTTCAAAGAGTCATGATCTGTCTGGATGACGAAGTGGCGGCTGGCCAAATAGTGCCGCCATTTCCCAACAGCCCAAGTGATGCCCAGCAATTCTCGTTCGTATGCACTGTACCGGGTCTCGGCCGGGTTGAGCTTCCTACTCTCATAGCAAACGGGTTGCAGCCCGTTGCCAAAGTCCTGCTGTAGTATATCACCCACTGAAACGCCTGATGCGTCTGTGGTAACCACAAACTCCCGGTCGAAATCCGGTAACTGCAGAACTGGTGCAGTCACCATGGCTGTCTTCAAGCGATTAAATGATTTTTCTGCTTCATCATTCCAAACGAAGGCCCTGTCCTTCTTCGTCAAGTCCGTCATGGGCGCTGCCAGCTCGCTGAACCACCGTATGAACTTGCGATAAAAACTGCACAGCCCCAGAAATGAACGGACGTCGGTAACATTCTCTGGTGTTGGCCAATTCAAAATCGCTTGGACTTTTGATAAGGATGGCTTGATCCCCTCAGCCCCCACATCAAAGCCCAAGTATTCCACCTCAGTTCTGAAGAAGTCGCATTTCTTCAATCTTCCAAACAACTTCTCCGACCGTAGGCGGTTCAGAACTTCCCTGATGTGCTGTATGTGTTCCTCCCTTGTCTGGCTATAGATTAATATGTCATCCAGGAACACTAGCACAAACTGGTCCAAGCCTTCCTTCAAAATTGTGTTCATGATCCTCTGGAAGGTCGCTGGTGCGTTGCACAACCCGAATGGCATGACAAGATATTCAAAACTGCCATATCGACTCACAAAGGCTGTCTTGTGTACATCGGACTCTCTCACTCGGATCTGATGGTAACCTGAGGAGAGGTCAATCTTTGTGAAGTATTTAGCCCCGTGCAGTCGATCCAACAATTCTTCCACCTTTGGCAGTGGGTAC